GAAATAGACTTATCAGAGCTAATTTGTGCATTAACATGATTTTCAGAAAGTTAAGTGTTAATAAGAAAACTGTAGTATTTATATAAATTCAATTAATTTTTCACATGTTTATTCTCTAAAAAATAAAGTTTGTTAAAGAGATATACTTAAATGTGAAATTATAAAATTAATGCATTTAATGTGTTGTTTTTTTTGTGTGTGTAATATTGTTTACAATAGTCGAAACTGTTTATTATTCCAATATTTTCACTTTATGATTTATATAATTCATGGGAAAATTTGTGTTTAACACGATAGTAGCTTAAAAATCCCCATTGAGTCATATGAAAAAGAGAAGAGGTTCAGCGAAGAGACTCTTTTCGATGGCGAATTCATTCACATAGCTGTACAATCGCAAATTTATATACAATTACTTTTGTGTATGCGTGTACATGGGGTTTGTCAAGTTTAGATAATTAATCAGGTAATACAAGAATGATCTAATATAGAAACAAGGTTAATTAGACAGCAACTAAAGTAAGATTGAGTTAGTAAGTTAGATGACGTAATATAATTGACTAAAATCTTCCAGCTTAGGTCAGGGTAGCAACAGAGGTAATTACAGGTCGAGACTAAGTAGAGGTGGGGTAGAGGATAATGCCACTTAAATTAGGACTAAAATTGAGCAAATAAATTGGATAACGTAACATAAATGACTAGAAATTGAGCGTTGGTCAAGTCAGTAACAGTGGTAATGAGGTGTAGAAATTAAATCGGGTGGGGGTAGAGAACAAGAAAGTTGAAAATGTAAAATATTACAATTGTAAAGACAAAATAATACTAATGATATGCAAGTGAATTGCCATTTCTTCTGCAGTTTGACTAAGTTTGATCCGTACACTTTTAGGAAGACTGCTTCGTATTCTGTAGACGACTTTGAAGTTTGTTTGGGGTGTAGCTTGATGTCCGGAATCTATCAGATGTTCTAAGGTAGAGCTGCGGGGGCATCGTTTTTCTCCTTTGTAAAACCATGCTGGTAAGAGTTCGGTGATACGTTTGGAAAGCGAACGCTGGGTACGGCCGACATACTTGGCTCCACAAGAGCAGGTGAATTGGTAGATACACATTGATGAGGCCAGCAGTGGTAGCTTATCCTTCACGTTCATACGAATCATAGGTTTCGTGGAGAAGGTGAATCGTAGTTCAGCTGCGAAGAAGGTTTTCTTAAGTGAACGGGACAGTCGATTTTTCAGTGTTTCCTCAGATGAATCTCCATTGAATTGAAGGTTCATGTAGAAGAGTTTTTTGAGGCGCTAAGCGTGGGCGGCTTTTGCGGTCTGGGATTCATGGATTTTGCAATAAATTGTTCTGGGTAACAATTCTCGACGAGCATTCTCTTGAGATTGTCCAGTTCGTCTTCTATGGTATCCGGGGTGCAGATTCTGCGAACTCTGTAGCTGAATGAACGCATCAGGTATCGTTTGGTGTATAGAGGTACCCAACTGTGAAAGTTAGTAAGCTGTCCTTTCCATGTCGACTTTCTGTGTTCCATCTTGTTCTCGTCTTGTTAGTTGAACGTCAAGAAAGGATATTTTGGAGTTAGACTCTTTCTCTAACACGATTGTATTTAGTGTAATGTACTACAAGATTGATATTAACGAGGCGGCTTTCAAAGTCATCCACCGCTTAACCAACTAATCTTAACTTTACCTTCTTAAGAGTTCGTCTACTACATATTGCTGATGCCTGTCTTTTGGGATCTACATTATGAAACCTAACTTATGTATTCAAAAGAAGTTGGTTGGTTCAGACACTGTCTTTACCCCGCTGGCCATCAAGGTTTTAATGATCCTTAATTTGTTGGGGAAATTTCCTTAATTTTATTTTATATTCTATTTACTATTACATTTTTTTAGTAGAGTATTTAAGTTGTTATGATGATATGTCCATTAGTAGTGTGAATAATAATAATAATTTAAAGCTTTCCAGCAGACCGTGGATTGAATCAGGGGCCATGCTTCCTGATCATTCTCCCACTTGGGGTGGAATACAATAACCCGGCTAGTCTAACTTTTTTGATATTAAGATAAAACTTGGGCACTGTGGTAGAGTATAACTCCATTATGGATAAAATTTTATTTTGATAAAATCACACAGTGTTATACAGTAATATTTACTGATGACGACGTTTCGAGCACAATTTATTACTGCTCATAATCATATCAAGGCACTACTCACACAACTTTCTGGCTTCATTTATATACATGAGTAAAATTGATGATTAGACATTTCAATAAAATCAATATAACATAATGTACATTCAGAAATAGTATTAGTGTTATCAATCAAATACAATCAGATGGGAAATAAGATGTTTTTATAGTAAAAATAAATAACTTGTTAGAATGTTATAATGTGAATTGAAATACATTTTAACATTATTTATTATCCTCTGACTTGACTGGTAATAATATCTTCCACATCTCTGGTATTTGCGCTGAGTCACTTCTATTGCGTGTGTTGGGTGTAGACTCGATGAACCAGGATTCAGTAATCAACCTCTCTCTCCACCTACTTATATTGCTTTTTAGGATTTTGACTCTGTCCCACCCCTATTGTGTGGTTGTGTGTTAATGCATGCAGTGCAATTGCTGAGTTTTTTTTTCTAAATTACTTACCTATTGGCTACAACTTATTGAATTCTAATTTTTAATAACCTTATTGTCGTCATTTTGAGTCCAATTTGAAATATCTCCTCATTTTAAACAAATAAGGTTTGATATTTCCTTTTTTGGGGCATAATTGTGAACATGGTGCTTCGTTTTTTTATCACATTTAAGAAGTTAATCTCACTACTCACATGATAATCTGGAATGTGGATGAAAACGTTTTTATACAATGTTACACGTGTGCAAGCCCTCATTAAATTTGACAAAATTCTGTCCCATAAGTGTGTTCTGATGTAGGATAGGATAGGTTATGAATGATTTTTGTGTCATAACTAGGATGATATTTGTCTTGTGTACTTCAATTTCTTAGAACAATTATTATTTTTGTGAAACAAGATACCCACAATAAACATTGTGTGTATGAATTTAATTCATTTTCATTTCATGTGCTGTAAATCTTCCAGTGTAACGGTAGAAGATGTCTCTCTATAGCCAAATTAGGTACACCTTATCTTCAAATTACCATTTGCACAGATCTTGCGTGTTGTACCACTTCTGGCCTTCATATTGGTGTTTCTTTGTGTTCTTTTCACGTCCCCCATCTATCTCCGCAACGCTGTATCATTTACTTTCTTTGACATCAAATGTATCTCCCTGCTATTTGATGTTTTTCTGCCGATGAACGTCTGTTTATATACTACTGATAAATCATCTCAGTAGCATACGCCACAGAACTAGGTCTGAAGAAAGTTAAACTTGACTAAACCAAGACACTGTGTGTCGTTGGTAGAGTATAACTCACCAACCACTCCTCACGTGGTCCGCGTTCAATTCTCAGCCGACGCACTGCCAAACCTCACCTAGACGGTAGTAATCCCAGTAAAGAGTGGGGGTGGGCGGATTGGGCTTGAGGCTAGCAACCCCACTCCTTATAAAAATAAACACCGCCTTTATTACAACTTCAAAGCTCAAACTTGGAAGGTAAAGGAATGAAAATAGGACTGAAACATTAGTTGTGTTTCTGTGTTATTCAAAAAAATGTAAGATATTCAGCAGACAGATATATGTACTTATTATTTATCACAGTTTCGTTTTTCTCTGGTCTCCCAACTTTCTCGTTTTAATTATCCTCCTCTTCATTCACATCATTTTTAATGTATTGATTGAAGTTTGTGCAAAGTTTTACGTCACATTACCTGTCTATCTGTCTGACTGTCTGTCTATCCATCTACCTATCTATCTATCAGACTCTGTCTGTCTATAGTCTCATAGTGAAAAAAAATTTTAGTCTTTCATTTAATTCACTTTTAAATTTCATTCTAAATTTAAGACACTCGTTTACAAAATATATCTGAATAATAAAACCTATCTGACATATGCAGACAAATATTCTTAGGTCGGTTATGAAAGATACCTTCCTGTGCAAAAATTGTGTAACAGATTGTATCAATGTAGAGAGAGAGAGGATTGTTGAATACACCACTTTGTTTCATTCACATTGATACTCAGTCAGTCATATAATAAACTAATCAAGAGAGTCAGCTATGAAATAACTAACTCTAAATGAATAAAAGTAACAGTAATAATAGACGAACAGTTATATTTCCAATGTCAAACATGCTGTCAAGCTATCATTGTGTGTGTAGGTATATTATAATATTTTGTAGGTCCATTCATTGTTACTTGTATGCATAACCAACCAATATCTAGGATGGACAGACAGTTAACAATGTGTGTGATACCTGTGTCTAGCTAGACTGCCTGTTATACGCCATAACCTTTATACTTAAGCGCATTTTTCTAAAACAAAACAAAAAAAAAAACACATTTATTGTTACTTATAGTTTTGAGGTAACAATAGGACAGCATCCATGATGCATCAGTTGGATTTTACACTGACTAATTGTTACATGGAATTGTTTATTGTCAAAGGTTCACTAGTAGTCGGACAGTGTTTTTGAATTATCTTGTTGACAGTGATGTTTTTTTATTCATAAAAAATATATGTGTGCATAAGGTTGTTATTGTGTTATACAATGGAAGTTTGATAAGGACTAAATCACTTCCCCATAGCTTGTATTTGTTTGTACCTTGACAGCTTTCGTTTTTGTTTCTTCTGACAAACTGCCTTTTTGAGTTGGATGTGTTGAATACCGTTGAATAAACAGTGCTGATCTTCATGACGGCAATGAATAGTATACAATGATTGTTATACCTTGCCATAATCACATGCCGTGTATCATGTGATATTTTTACATCATTGTATATTTTTTCAAGGAAACTACTATTTAACAATACATTTGTCATTTCATTTTCATGCATATTGTTTAATTTTTTGTTGTTGTTGCACAGTTCCAAATGATTGATCTTGGACAACCGAAACGCGCTTTACTCTCACGTATAGACTATGGTGTACGTACACTGCAAGGTGCATGTGATGAAATTGACAAACCTGTATATCCTGATGAAGAAGCATTACGTGGAGATGATTTAGTATGTTGTTTACTTATTTTTTTTTTAATGTTAAAGTTTACTTTATTGCCATGATTTGTTTTGTAAAACGCGCCATTTTTGACAGAATACTAGTGATAACAGAAATTTGGCAAAGTTAAACTTTAGACATCCAAGAGGTGCGGCGTTCCAATGACTAATTGCGCTAAAAGGCAAATATGGGCCCTTAACTCAACTCTAACCCTAATCTCTGCCTAACCTGAGTTAAAACTAACCAGATATCCTATCCTACTTTATATCATTACACCTCATTCAACACTTTTCCGTGAATATAGTATTATTTACTGGTTTCACTGCCTTGCTATGACTGAGCATCTCAAGGTTATGCGCCGGTTGCTGTCTAGTCTTCAACTTCGGTGGAGATTTTCACTCTGGTTGGTATATCTACGCGGAATTAATAATTGTTTTGATTAGATAGCTGTGTTGTGTGAGTTTAAAACGTCTAAAAGTATATGACAACTTACTTGAGGGAGTATGAGATTCTTATCTCTTTATTTTTCAATGTTTCGGAAATATCTCATGTCAACAGTGACGTAATCAGTCTAGTGAAGATTACAGTGCATAATCATCTTCTGGATGAATTCTATTCACTCATTGTAGTGACGAGTTAGTGTTGATCTTAATAATCAATATACGTGTGTATTATAGGCAAGAAAAAGGTTTGAGTGCATTAATCATCATTCAAAAATGGGGAATTTTGGCAACTGAATGTTAAGCGACTTAAACCTTCAAGTTCGCTCGCTAACTGACTTCAGTTAGAGAACCACTGAAAGCCGTGGAGTTCTAAACATTTGTTTCGCACTTGTCTGGAACTCTTCAGTAGCACGTACTCATGACCTTACCGGGAATCGAACCCAAGACCTTCAGGTTATAAAGCGAGCCTGTTGACCATTGGGACGGAATTCAACGACCCATCAATTCTAAATTCGTGGTATATAGCCCAACTAGTAGCCAATGTCATAGGCAAGTACCTATCGTCACACCTGACTTGGTGGGACCTCAGTGGTCACAACTCAGAATTTCAGGCAACTTTATTCCGTAGTCAGTCTCTAGTGAGCACCAACACTTGAAAATCTAACCTTTGTTTCTGATCAACGCTTGTGAAGGTTGGTTTATTCTGTGGTGTTTGGATATTCATTAAAAATCCTAATTTTGAAGGAAATATTTGGTTCAGAAATATGGGATTTAATAGTGTTGGGTTAGGTTAGTTATATATATGAATCTTTGATAGTCTCTTTTAGGCAGTACACTCGATGTAAACTTGATTGTCTGGCTTACTTAAACTCTGTTTTGTGGTATTTTTCTTCGTGTTTTTGATTAATCTGTAAAAGTTAGGTTCATAGTAGTCTTGTGCCTGTTAGTCACTATCTGATATAAGCTCCAACTATCTGGACATTAGTAAACATTCTTTCGGTATCCTTATTTCCAAGATGTTTGCAGTTTGTTTTCTAGTTGAATTCTCGGTTACATTTATCCAAATATGTTTTGAAGCCTAACTACTAGTTGAAAGCAAGCAGGACGGTCATGTTTATATGCCGTTTTCTTTACAATTATCACAGTCTTTTCAGCTTATAATTGGCTTGTATTCATTTTCCAGAGCATATTCTTAGTGTGACAGCATTTTTCAGTCTCATTAGCTATGACGATTAGAAACGGCTTCAGTAGTCAAGTTTGAGTTCTTCAGAGTTTGGTTTTCATGTACAGTAGAATGATGTATCAGTTAGTTCCGATGAACAAAGTTAAGTTTTGTTAACTTTCTGTGACAAATACCATTCCGTCATACGGTAATTGTCCTACTTCTCTGTTTATTGTGTATATCGTCTATTGATGGATGAATGACCGAAACCTGTTTCGTGTGTTTACGGCCTGTCGCCACTATATTTGAAGATTCCGATGTATACTCATGGGCGATTTCCATGTTGTGTTTCTCAGTAATGATGAAAATGATCTTCTTGTTATATGATCCAAAGTTTTAGATTAGTTGGCTTCTTCTTCTTCTATCTGTTTTAGTACAGAAGAGTTTCAATTTCTTCTTCAGTAAGTCATCAGTGAATCATAGTCACAGATATATATACACACATTTTTCTTCACGAACATCTCATAGCCTCTTCGAATTGTTTTACACACACTAGAATGTACTGGCAATGTACTTGACAATACAAACGTCAAGTCAGTATTCTTCTATACGGATCAGAAACTTGGCGGGTCACAAGGAATATTTCCAACAGCCTGTTGCAGACCTTTATCAACAGCTGTCTTCGCTGGCTCTATACTGAAGGTCAGATGGCCGGAAAGAATCACCAACAAGAAACTATGGAAACAAACAAAACAAGAACCAATTACCCAACAAATATGCAGGAGAAAGTGGAGATGGACTGGACACTCGCTGAGGAGGCCACTGGGTGACATCGCGCGTCAGGCCATCGCTCGAGTGGAACCCGAAAGGGAAGCGGTGAGTGGGACGTCCAAGGGTGACATGGAGGAGATCGTGTGGAGAAGAGTTGAAACAGTATGGACTAACATGGATGCAGGTGAAAAGTACAGCAGAAGACAGAAGCAAGTGGAGACGTGTAGTTGAAGCCCTATGTTCCACTAGGAACGCAAGGGAACAATAATAATAATAATAGAATGTACTGAATTAACTACTAGTATATATCAAATGGTTCCTTAGGTGAATGTTTATGGAACCTTATATATCTATCCCACAGCATATACATACATACATACATACTAGGGTTATTTGAGCCAATTCTCAAAGATATAAGTCTGTGTAGATAGTTCATCCAGTCATAGATGTTGTCGTAAGTTTTGGGTAATTCTATTTTGCTGACTAATAAACCCAATAACCCAATAACATTGTTTTTTTTCAGAATACTAAACGCTGGCGTTCAGAAACATTAGAACAAGCTCGTGCTGGTGTTCTCAGTCATTTAGGCGCTATGACAATGGCTACTGGTCGTTTGATATCTGGAATTCACTCGCCTGAAGGTCGAGGTCGTGATGGTAAGCATAAAGTGGCATTTTTTTCTATTCATCATTCTTTTGTCTTTATCAGCTTCGTCGTTGAGAAATGATATCACTTTCCGAAAATTTTTTTAAAAACTATTCCTTTGTCTTGGCTTCCCTCGGTTTATTAAAATTATTACAATGTTCTTCTCTTCTGTTGAATTATTTTCAAGCTTAGTTGATGCAGTTGTCCAATGTTCCTTTGATTCTGAGTCTTTCTTTAATTGATGCTGGTTACTGATGAGATTTCTCTTAGAGCTTTATCACAGTTACGTCTTCTCACTTAAAATAGTCTCGAAAACATGCATTAATGATCAGTGGATTCATTTTTACATATATTTGGTTTGTATTGAGTTTTAGATATTATTCATCACTCATCGAAACAAATTAAAGAGCCTCTGAAAACCAGTATGAACTAATTCACTGTTTTGTTGTGTTCCCAGTCTTTGATGGGGTTATGAGAACACATGAGAAGTCGAAAAAAGAGTCTCTTAGTTTGATAAAGTTCTCTAGGTGATTTCCGTTCGTGAAGAAACTAGTTTTAAGAGAAAACTAATTACTACATAGTCAAGATGTATTTCTTAAGTTTCTTATGAGATGCTGTGATAGATTGGGTTATTCGGCGAAAAACCTTAAGAAAGGAAGATTAAATATTTTGTTAGAGAGAGCAGTCTTCTGATTGGTTGTTTTCTTGCTGAAGGTTATTCTGTCATCTCTTTGTGATCGTTCTTAAAAGTTAAGCCATATATCTGCGAATCGTATTTAACGTAAGTTCTGTGATGGTTGGTGAGTTCCTCAATTAGCTTTTGTTTTTACCTTTATAACATTGATGTAAATTGCTGTCTATCAATTTGGCAGCTAGCTCTCAACACAACCTACTTATCTTGAGTTTTATTCTTATCAGCACTCCTTATCCATGACAAAGCGTGTTTGCAACTGTCTGCTTCAAATGGCTAACAACTTTCTATAACTTTCTCCTATTAATCAGGTTATCGTACGTTAAACTTTATGTTAAAGTTCTGAGGTCTTATCGATCGTCCAATGTAATACTAAGTGAAGAAGAAATGATTGAGTTTGATAGGAATAGTACTTTTGCTAATCCTTTGTGTGTAGTCAAATTTGATGAATTTTATTTTACTGTTTTTTTATAATTGTAAACAAACACACTTCAAGATTGACTGTCGAATATATTTGTATATTACATATCTTCGGTGCATCGGTGACACAGTGGTAGAATGCTCGCCGACCACGCCTCATGTGGTTCGGGGTTCCATCCCCGGCCGATGCACTCCTTTACCTCGCTAAGGCAGTAATAATACTGGTAAAGAGGGAAGGTTGTGCATGAGACTAGCAGCAACCCCATCCCGTAAAAAATATACACCACTGCTACCGAAACTTCAAGCCTCTAGCTTGAAGCCCTATGTTCCACTGGGAACGTAAAGGAATACACACATTACATATATTCATCCCATTGTTGGTTAATCGGTTGCCGCTTTTGATTGAAAGCTGATTAGTATTCTTCCACCTGACTTTTTGGTTCATTAGAATTGACCAAAACCATTTTTAACAGGTTACTGCGAACTCCACTTCAATACTACGGATCAGGTGGTCTGCCGGAAAAGTTAAGCAACGAGGAACTCTGGCAACGAACTAATTAGGAACCTGTTACTCAACAGATATATAGGAGAAAATGGAGATACATCGGACACCCTTTGAAGAGACCGTTGAGTGACATTACACGCCAGACTCTTAAGTGGAATCCGAGTGTGAAGCGACGAGTTGGACGTTTGAGGTTGACATGGAGATGATCATGTGAAGTGGAAATGAAAGCTTCAGAGTAGTCGTGGAGCCAAGTGGAAATGATGACAGAGTACTATGTAGATGTGCTGCTGTGAAGCCATATCTTCCACTCGGAATGCGAATAACGAATATTAATAATAATGATAAAGGTGATGGGCAGGAAGCCCTTGAACTAGGTTTTATTTTTACTAGTACTCTTTAGCAAGACGTATCTGCAATCTTCAAGGGACTGATTCTGTCTCGGAGATTAGAACATGTGTGTCACTCAAGGTATGTTGTTGATTCCCGCCAACCACTTAGGATATATATTTAGAGTGCACCGCGATGGTGAATTATTTAGCTTCGTGACCACAATGCCAACTTGATTTCTATAGAATTCATTCAGCGCGTTAACAGTTAGGATTAGACACATGACATTCTTCATACCCTAATAATCAATTACTGTGCACCTCAGTAATTCTGAGTTAAAAATAAGTTCTAAGATGGCACTTAGTACTTTAAAACCTATAATAAGGATTATGTGCACATAGATATCAACATAATATCTATCCAAGCAGGTTTGTTTCTAAACTACTTCAAACATATTCAGTAATTAACTCCGTATTTGACTGATTTAATGTTGTATATTTAGAATCGTAATTCTATCTTATCATATTAACCATATTGACTGAAGGTAAACGGAATGTGTCGCCAAGTTATTCAAAAGACATAGGATTATGATGAATGTGAACTAGCACTTGGATACATTTATTCTAATGTATTTGAATAGCCTAGCAAAATGGCGTTTCCTTTCATTCACCGATAATTTCTAATTTGAAAAATATATGATTCATGATTAAAATAAAACCCATTAATATTCTTGAATTTTTATTGGTTTCAATCTATGCATATATATATTTAACCACAAAGTTTATTTACTTGAAATTTTGGTATTTATCTATTTGAAGGCATTATCATTGTTAGATTCAAACATTTTTGTATATTGATCATTGATTAATATGTCGTGCTACCTAGAGTGTTTAGGGCGTTTCATTTAAATTTTTGTTTAAATATTTATCCTATGACCTATAATCGAATAGACTCCATAGTGAAATTATAATTATTATTATTATACTTGAAATTAGGCAAATTAATAGAATAAATTGTCTAAAGTCTAATTATATATAGCGTACAAAAATATGGTAGTACGACTGAAGTCGGTATTTTGTTATTTGTTATTGTTGTCGTCACGATTTAAGCTTTATTAAATAACTGTCTATTTTCTTCTTCTTTGTGTGTGTATTCACACTGGAAGAAGTATCTTTCGATTAACATAAATGACTAGACAACAGCATTGCCCATATAATCCTGAAAGAAAAGGCGTTTTTTGTTGAAGCTGAGTATATAACATCTGATAATTTTGGTACTACAGACGAAAATAGTTCCCTTTAGACGTAGAATGAGGCAGTACTGAACAGCTGTTCCGTCGTAGTTCGAGATTTTTCATCAGTGCAGTGCGTGGGGGGGTCAACCAGGTTAGGTGTGAGGACGAATGCTTGCCGGCGACATTGGCTGGTGGCGGTTGCGTTAAAAATGGTGAATTAACAGAAGTCAGAATTTATGGGTGATTGGATTCCTCCTCCACTGGCTGAATAGTCGACGAGCAGCTCACTTCATAACTTGAAGGTCCTTTGTTTAATCCCTAGTGGGTTCATGAGGGCTTGTCACTGAAGAATTCCAAACAAGGACGAAACAACTCTCTAATATTCGCTGGTTTTCAGTGGTTCTCCTAACTATGGTCAATTCATGATCAAATTTGAAACCAGTCAAATCTTTATAAACTAACACTTGAAGGCGTAAAATCAACTGCTGAATGCATGTTGGCGATAAACTGTAGAATGAGATAGAAGTTTCTCAATTTTCATAACGCCACTGTCTTCAAATCTACTTATAATTACAAAATAATCTAGACATTTGAAAACTATTATTGTTTTTGTTATATTAGTCTGAACGTCTAAACTGTGGGGCGTGTATGCTTTCATACTGTTTGTTTTTTGTAGACACCTGTTTTGTATTTTTTTGTCTACGTACATATGAAATCTGTCAATGTGTAATTTCCTGTTTGGAAATGTCAATACTTTCTTTATTTGAAGTGAATAAATATATTGGACTTTTGAATAATGTGGTCATAACTGTTACAACTGCAAATTATCTGCCGTCTACCTGAAACAAAATGACTACCATTTAGTGTTGTAGAGTTCTCTTAACTGGATGGTTTAACTGCTAAGCTTCCATTGTCTTTCTAGGTAATATTTTTCGCGCTGACTTTAATATTAAGGGGATTGTTCCCGATCCATGGTTATTTTGAATGTGATTAGTTGTCTCTAGAGCTTGTCTTAGGATTGTAGCCATCTGTATTCATATTGAATGTTCCGCTGACTAAATGTTTGACCTTTTGATCATGTAATTTATTTATTTTCTTAATGATTAAGAAATTTGATCAATATCCACATATCTGGTAGTTGCAAATTGATCTTAGGAACAAGCTTCTAGGAATTCACTGGTATGGTTAGTATTCGCTCTGTTGATATGAACTGATACATTCCCCTAAGAAAATCTTCAGATATAACCAATCGCAGACAAGGACACTAGTGAAGACAGACGTTTCGTTCATGAGGGATTTCGAATGCTCACTTCACATTGAGTTTAGTGGTGAATAGATTGTCCAGCAAGATAATGGAAGCTACACAATTAAACCGTTCAACTAAGAGAATAGAATAACATCAAAGACATCCACTTGAGTTTACCAATCTTTTTCCATCATTTCAGCGGGGGGGGGGGAGCTTTCTCATTTCACTTTAGAGTTTTGTCTGAAAATGAAATCTTTTTCATGATTCTGGTCTTATTTTCACTTTTTGTTGGTATTCTTAAGTCTCTTAATATTTCTGCATTGTGATTTATCGCTGATCATTTGGAAGTATGGCAAAGAAGTGATACTGTAAGGACATGTTCGACACTTCAATGGGCTTAGCATGGAAGTGATTTCCGTCAACTTCTTGTTATACTGATGGTCAATAATGTAAATGTACACATCCTCAAACTGCTTGATTAATGATTCTGTGATGTGTAGTTGTCGATAGCCAGCAATGAAATTTCGCCATATGTGTTTTCCTTTCTAATTAAGAACTGTTGCCACAAAATCGTTTCTACCTGATAAA